TTTGACCTGACAGCAGCCCTCGAGCACTCAAGTGATTCCAAGTCTCTGCAGACCACTGACCCAGAGAAGAAAGTGGCTAACTGCAGCACGTTGGCCATTGCAACAAGCTGGCACCGGAGACTACCGACGGGTGCCTCCTGAATCCACTACCTCATGAAATACCTAGGCGACCTCATGCTGTACGACCTCATGAAGTACCTGCGCAACCTCATGAAGTACCTGTGCGACCTCATGAAGCACCTGTACGACCTTATGCTGTCACCTATAGTCTACCTCATGAACTACCACCACAACATCACCTTCTACATCCTCCACCTCATGAAGTACCTGTACGACCTCATGATGTATGACCTCATGAAGTACCTGTACGACCTTATGCTATTCCACTATACCACCTCATGAAGTACCTCTACGACCTCATGCTGCACGACCTCATGAAGCACCTGTACGACCTCATGCTGTACCACCTCATGGTCTGCCTCATGGACTACCACCACAACATCACCTTCTACATCCCCACATCCACTTCCTCATGAAGTACCTGTACGACCTCATGATGTATGACCTCATGAAGTACCTGTACGACCTTATGCTATACCACTTCATGAAGTACCTGTACGACCGACCTCATGAAGTACCTGTACGACCTCATGCATCTGCTGCTGCATTCCCTCGGGGCGCAAATGGGCGCAAACAAAAAAGCCGAGTTTTTGGAGTTCGTCGTAAAACTCGGTTTTTTTATTTGCTGCTTCGGCAGCAGCCTTGACGCCTAGTTTCCCCGTCCCCGCGAAACCTAACTCCGAGCCCAGGACCTATCCACGCTTGTACTTTCCACTCATTTTCGCAGACTTCGAGCCGCACGGGGAGGTCAAACATCGCTGAGCAATTTCCCGGACCTATCCACGCTTGTGCTTTCCACTCAGTTTCACAGATTTCGAGCCGCACGGGGAGGTCGATGTCGTTGTCGTTGTCGTTCTTGTTGTTGCTGCTGCTGCTGCTGAGCCAGCAACTGCCTGTCGAAAAGGGGATACGTGATGCGGCTCCCACAGGCTCACCGCCTGTGCAACCGGACGGGCAGGCTGGCTGTTGTTGCTGTTGTTGTTTTGTCTGGCCGGCAGCTGCCTGTCGAAAAGGGGATACGTGATGCAGTTCCCACAGGCTCACCGCCTGTGCAACCGGACGGGCAGGCTGGCTTCGTCCGTCTGGTGATTCTTGTCGATGTTGTTGCTGTTGTTGTTGCTGTTGCTGTGTCCCATTGGGCGCAAAATGGCGCAAAATGGCGGGCTGCCAGTAGCCGCCTTTCTGGCTGTATCGCACGCGCCTGCCTCTTCCCAAGGCTTGTGCTCACCCCATACCTGGCCGCGCCTAAAAACAAATTGTTTCGGCCCGAAAATCGTTTTTGCGTCGTCTCTGGCTGCCTCGCTCGCGCCCGCCTCTTCACCCCAAGCCTGGCGGTGTCAAAAAAGAATTCGTTTTGCGCGACAGGTCCGAGATTCGAGCCTCCAAATTTTCCCGCGGGACAAAGCTGAGTCCGACGCATTCGCCGCTGAACCAAGGCCGGCTTGCTCACAAGCGGGGCTGAAAGCCGCCTTTTCCCGTCTGGCCGCTCGGTCTTCAAAATCCGGCTGGGCCAAAAACAATTTATTTCGCCCCGAAAAAATGTTTTTCCGGGGGGTCAGCTCCAGGTTGCCCTGGCAGCCCGCCTAGGCTGCCCAAGCCCGAGGGTGTGGTCTATCCACGACTGCCTTTCCAAGTTCAATGTGTGTCTTGTCACCCATTACCGTTTCAAACCTATCCATGCACGGCTTCGTCTTGCTGTCCACCCACGACGTTCTATTTGCACTTTCCCGTCCTCACATGGAAGTGCGAATCCAGGTGCAAATCTCATCAGTTTAGGTGCAAATCTCATCAGTTTAGGTGCAAATCTCATCAGTTTAGGTGCAAAAAACAAGAGATGCAATCTCATTAGTTTAGGTGCAAATCCCATCAGTTTAGGTGCAGGGGCTCTCAGACCAAATCTCAAAGATGTCCAGAATCCCTTTTTTCAAAGCCCTGCAAGACCTTTGGGCAAAGACGTCCAGAAAAGGGCAAATCCCATCACCTTTGGGCAAAGACGTCCAGAATCCCTTGTTTCAAAGCCCTGGAAGGGCAAATCCCATCACCTTTGGGCAAGGACTAGACGTCTCCTTTTCAGAGCCCCTTGAGGGGGCAAATCCAGGTCTGGGCCATTTCTGTCTCGAATTGAAGCTCAGAAGCTCTAGAAGCGATGGCGTCTTCTCCGGACCATTACCGTTTCAAACCTATCCATGCACGGCTTCGTCTTGCTGTCCACCCACGACGTTCTATTTGCACTTTCCCGTCCTCACGTGGAAGTGCGAATCCAGGTGCAAATCTCATCAGTTTAGGTGCAAATCTCATCAGTTTAGGTGCAAATCTCATCAGTTTAGGTGCAAATCCCATCAGTTTAGGTGCAGGGGCCCTCAGACCAAATCCCAAAGATGTCCAGAATCCCTTTTTTCAAAGCCCTGCAAGACCTTTGGGCAAAGACGTCCAGAATCCCTTGTTTCAAAGGCCTGGAATGGCAAATCCCATCACCTTTGGGCAAAGACGTCCAGAATCCCTTGTTTCAAAGCCCTGGAAGGGCAAATCCCATCACCTTTGGGCAAGGACTAGACGTCTCCTTTTCAGAGCCCCTTGAGGGGGCAAATCCAGGTCTGGGCCATTTCTGTCTCGAATTGAAGTTCAGAAGCTCTAGAAGCGATGGCGTCTTCTCCGGAGACCTCTCTACGCAAGCGAGCGGCAGCAGCAACGCTCGAAGAGCTGGAGTTGCAGGCCAGCTTCTGGAATAGCTGACAATAGAACCCGGTTGCTGTAGGGTGCCCTAGATTCCAAATGCATTTTTGCGTTGCGGGGGGGTTTTGTTCGCCGGGACAGTAGAGTTGCCTCGGTGATAGATCTTGATCTGCTCGGGCAGATTCTTCCTTATGAGGCGCGCAGTTGAACTTATTTGGTTGGCTGCGGTGAGACGGCAGGTCATCCGCAATGCAGAGGGTGTTTAGGGTTTTTGCGGGGCTGAAAGACAAAGCCCCAGAAGCGGCAGCCACTGCAGAGGCGCGCAGTTGAACTTGTTTGGTTTTGCGGAGCTGAAGGACAAAGCCCCAGAAGTGGCAGCCGCAGCAGAGGCGCGCAGTTCAACTTGTTTGGTTGGCTGCGGTGAGACGGCAGGTCATCCGCAATGCAGAGGGTGTTTAGGGTTTTTGCGGGGCTGAAGGACAAAGCCCCAGAAGCGGCAGCCACCGCAGAGGCGCGCAGTTGAACTTGTTTTGTTGGCTGCGGTGAGATGGCAGGTCATCCGCAGTTGCAGCATGTTGCAGAGGGTTTTAGGGCTTTGCGGAGCTGAAGGACAAAGCCCCAGAAGTGCATGCCCCCGCAGAGGCGCGCGGTTGAACTTGTTTGGTTGGCGTCGTTGCTGCGGAGCATTCCATTCTGAGACAGGCCTCCTTGCGCAAACTGTCCTTGCAGCAGTTGAGAGAGATGGCCACGAAGATGAAGGTTTCTAAGAAAGGCACCAAAAGCGAGATCAGGGCAAGGCTCCAGGCGCAGCTTGCGTTGAGTTGCGCGTTGGTTTGAGAGGGTGCTTTGCAGTGTTTTGTGTTGCGAATCTGGTGTCCGCAGTTGCGCTGAGGCTGCTTCTTTTAGTCACACACACACTCGCTGGAGGCAAGGCAGACCCAGGCCTGCTCGACCAAGGGGGCAGGAGCTGCACCTGCGTTGGCGGTGCCTTGGCATTAGCGATAGCCAGTCAACAATGCCTTGTGCCGGTCCTAAGGACGAGCGACGGGGAGCGCAGGCAATTGCTCATGTGGAGGCGCCGGTGTGTCACAATGGAGGGGTGGGCCTCCATCCAATCTCCAAACTGCGCGCCCGTTCTAGGCTGAAGAAGTGGACGGCCATATCGCCGAAAGCCAGGTGGATAAAGAAGCTCCAGTTGACCTCACGTCGCCAGCTGGCTGGTCTCAAGAAGGCCCAGTGAGCCGTGCGACCCGAAACTTGCAAGTGCAAGTCAGCAAGCTGGAGCCCAGCAAGCGTGGTGGGCGCAGAGCAAAGATGGCTGATAAGCCAAAGCCGAAGAAGCGAGCTGAGCCTGTGTGTCTGGACGACAGCGACTTCGGTGGGCGCAGAGCAAAGATGGCTGATAAGCCAAAGCCGAAGAAGCGAGCTGAGCCTGTGTGTCTGGACGACAGCGACTTCGAGATCTCGCGCTGCTGGCTGCAGGCCCATGCCAAGAAGTTTGCCCAAGACTTGCATGAGAAAGAGGACTTCACTGGAAACCGCGTCAGCTTTTCCAAGAACTCCTTGCTGGCGTTGCAGATGTCCCTTGAGATGTTTGTTCCTTAGTCCGCAAGCGGATTCAACACGCGGGATGTTGGTGGAAGGGTCAGGTTGGAATTAGCCCCGCAGCCCTCTGCGTTTTGCGTTTGCTGGGTCCCACAATCATGGAAGTGCACACTTTTTCAGTGCGTTGCGTCCAGGTAATCCGCGGGGAACTGGGGGACACTTGAAAAGGGTTTCGTAATCATTGCACCTACATGTGTTTCAGTCTGAGTGCCAACCCACTCCTAATGCGGCAGCTTACACACACTGCAACAGGAAGTTTTCCGCGCCCAAGTGAACACCAATTTTGAAGACTCTCCCACTAACATGTTGAAATTCCAACACTCCACTTTAAGCATAGAATTCTTGCACGGCTTGCGGGGAAGCATCAGGTGATACTGGGTCCGTGGGAGACTTGAGCTGCGAGGAAAGAACTTGTGCCATTTGCGGTGTTGGTGACGGTTGGTGCGCCAAGCGTTTGTGGACACGGCTCGCACAATTTTGAAGCTCGCGACAAGTAGAAGCTAATGTGAAAACACATAGGCATCGCAACATAAACGCGCTTTTTTGCCATGCAGTTTTGTAAATGGGCTAAGTTCTTGGTGTTGCGGGCTAACTTGTGTGCCATGGGGGTTGGCCACGGTGGGCCAAGTTCTTTAGCAATCTGGTAAGTTTCCCGGCGGGTCGTAGATATTGAGGAAATATCATGGTAAGGTTTCAGCAGCCATTTTCTGTTTTTAGTTATGGCAGTAGAGTCCACTTGCTAGCGCGAAAAAATCCAGAGACTAGCGAAAGACTTATAGAGACTGAGGCGCAGGAGTGGATGACAGACTGCGCCCTATTGGCGCAGCACGGAAAGCGCACCACGGTGTGCAAGAGTGATCTCGCGCTCTCCTTGCTGATGCGCAACGAGGGCTGGGTGGGCGGCAAGCACAAGGAAATTCACGAGGAGGTCGAGGCGGCGCGCGCTCAGAACAAGAAGCTGCGGAAAAGCCAGCGTGACTGCGCCTTGCCCAACGCAGATTTTTCTGATGCTTCTTTCATGGGCTCCGCTGTTTACCTGTGTCCGCATGCCTTCCAGCACCGATTTTCATTCTCACGGACCACTCAGCTGCAGTTTTCCCCGGCTTGCCTAGGTGCTGAGGTGAAATTGCCGACGGTCAGGCAGATTGAGAAGATGGTCTTCGGAGATTGAGCCTGCAGCACATGACAGATCGCGTGAGCCCCTGCAATTTTGGTAGTAACTTTCGCATTTTCGAGCAGTGCGCGCCAACCCTGCTGCGTTCAGAGAAGAGGAAAAGAGAGAAAGAGAGAGACAGAGAGAGAGAGAGAGAGCGAGAGAGAGAGAGAGAGAGAGCAAGTGGCGTGGCATGGTGAAGAATTGGAGAGCACAAGGGCATTCTTTCGTGACAGCAAAGGTGTTTGGAATCAACCTGCGTTAAACACCAATTGGGGCAATTTACGGTACCTTTGGCTCCTCACAAGGGAAAGAATGGGAGAGCATGAGGGCATTGTTTCGTCGCAGCAAATGTGTTTGGAACCAACCTATGTTAAACACCAATTGGGGCAATTCGCGGTACTTTTGTCTCCTCACAAGGGAAAGTATTGGAGAGCATGATTGTTTCGTCGCAAAGGTGTTTGGAATCAACCTGCGTTAAACACCAATTGGGGCAATTCACGGTACCTTTGTCTCCTAGAGCACCATGCCTTTTCGGGGGCTGCTTTCAGGTCTGGAAGGCTTGTTTTGCAATGGTCGGGCGTTGCGCTTTTTTGTTCGTGGTTGGAAACGTTCGCGGTCGAGCATTGACACTTTTCCATTCGTCCATTCCTCGCCCAAGCCCCGCCCGCTTCTCCCCAAGACTTGTGCGGCAAAAAAGCTGACAAATGTTCAAAACCTTGCGCTCGCCCTTGCGCATTCTTGCGCCTACCTCGTAAAATGGCACTCTTCCGAGGCGGCTCGTTGTCACGGGCCAGCGTTCCCGCTGCGGAGGCAATGCCAGAGGTAGATGTTGCAGGAGATGAAGGATGAGGCAGCGTCTGACCCAGAGCCAGGCTCCAAGTGATACCAGCCGAGTTGCGCGAGCCCCACATGTTACACGCAGCGTGGTTATCGACAGGAAGGCGTCAGACCTCTGAGCTTCCGTCTTTCAGTCTTTGAGGCCTTCCGAGTTGATGTTGTAGAGCATCTGCCTAGTTCTTCAGGCCGCAAAAAGACAGACAGATGCCTTTGATTGCGAGCGTCCGCCTTACCAATTTAGTTGCAAGCGCGTGCGTGTTTGCATTGCTGCCTGAGCATTCGGTGAGAGTCAGTGGGTTCAGACAAACACTTCCAGACCTTGTTTGGCAAGACGCGGATTTGGTTTGTTTAGATACGGACTCGGCATGTCTTAGCAAAGCCTTTTCTTAACATTGTGTCCGCGGTGGGGGTAGCACTGTTCCACCCGCAGACGCAGACGAATTACGAAGACACATTGCCCCGAAGCAGACTCGAGCCCAACCACATGCCCGAAGACGCGAAGACGAATCCCCCCCCGAAGACGATTTCCCCCCGAAGACGATTTCCCCCCGAAGACGAATTCCCCCCGAAGACGAATTCCCCCCCGAAGACGAAAGATGGCAGGTACGCAGACAACAGGCGCTTCACCGTAGCTGCGCTTTCATACAAAGGGTAGATTTTAAGCTGTCTCCTGCGACTCCAAGGCTCCGCCCAGTCACCTCCCTCGCCCTTGCCCTAGTTTGTTTTAGGCAGGCGCAGTGCTACTTGCAGTGCAGCTCGTTGCACTCACAGGCCGGACAGTCCGTGAATCCTTCTGTTGAAGCATCTTGTAGATTGTGCCGGGGGTAGATCCAAAGGCCTTACGGCGAAACTCGAATAGACCAGGGCTTTCACATTTCAAGGAACCCCTGACACGCGAACTCCGAAGTGGCGATTGCTGATCTTCTGCGCGGGGGGGCTGACCACAGTGTCCATCCCCCATTCTAGGAAAATGCATTTAGGGGGGACCTAGGTACCTTATGCATTTTATTTTTATGCATTTTTCTCCCCACGTAGAATCTATAGTGCGCTATCATACGTTATTCGTGAGATTACATGAGATTTGCTTTGCCATCATGTCTGGTCACATGTTGAAACAAGTGTGAGAGCATGTATGTGAGAGCATGTGATCCTTGGCGCCACCCCGGCGCCACCTTTGTTGAAAGTCTAGCATTTTATTGCAGTTCTTTTGCGCGGGCGAAAAAACAGCCGCCTGACTCCTCGTGCATCTCTTTACTTTGTTGGATTCCTTCATCCCGGTGGCGTCTCGAACCCTTTGGTTGCACTTGGGACTAGTGCATCGCTAAGCCATCGCGTTAAGAAAAAGTGCAAATCCGCTTACGCCCAGCGGCCGGAAGCAGATGTCGTGGCGCGGCAGCAGATTTCCAGCCTGAAATCCGCTAGCACGCTGTCAAATCCGCTTACGCCCAGCGGCCGGTAGCCGCCCAGCGGCCGAAAGCCGCTCACGCCAGTTTTGGAAATCTGCTACCGGCCGCTGGGCGTAAGCGGATTTGCCAGCGCGCTAGCGGATTTTTTGCCAGAAATCTGCTGTCGCACCACGAAATCTGCTTGCGGCCGCTGGGCGTAAGCGGATTTGAAGGACTGCGCAGAGCGCTTGCGTGCAGCGGATAGCGAATGCTGAGCGGCTGGGTGTTGAGCGCGGAGGTATTTGCGACCAGGTTCATATGTAAATAGCCATTACTTGAGTCACGCGAGGGCGTGCAAGGGTGTATCACACAGGTGCTCCATTTGTGGTCTTGCCTGGATAACGATACCCAACAACGCTCTCCAAGATGTAGGTCCAAAAACACCTAAGTGGGTCGATGTCAAAAGTAGGCCTTCAGCCCAAGCTGAGCTTTGCAGGCGCACTCATTCCTTCTGCTCTGGCGGTTGAAGGAGGCTTTGTGTCATGTCCTGGCTCCCGGATGTCGAGGGGGGACCTTAAAACTGCAGATGTGCATTTTCCAGGTCCCCCACCCCTTATGCGTAGGGGATCAGTGTCCCAAGCATCAGCTTGCAACTCGGGGGCTGACTGCTGTTGTTTTCCACGTCTGCCACGCAGCCGCCGCTCCTGCCAAGAGAAGCACGATAGTACCAAAAAGCCCCTGGAGGAAAAGCCATGTCGATGTCCAAGCTTTGCGAGGTGAAGGCCAAGAACGAGTTGGCGATGAGCATAGCTGACGCATCCACGAGAGCCTCGGAATCCCACGTGGATGAGGATGGGATGTCTGATGCCTCAGCTGCTTCTTTGGGAAACACGACCTTGGCCAGCTCAAAGCTGAGCAAGGCCCGCAATGAGAGGGACAGAGGCCCTAAGAGGGCAGCGAAGAGGATCCGAAGAGCCATGATCAAGAAAGGCATGTGTCAGGAGGTTGTGGATGCGATGACGGACCAGGAGGTGCTCAATGCGAGGGAGACCTCACGGCGAACACCGTTTTCAGATCTCCTCGCAGAGCACTTGGGCATGGTCTCGGAGGGCGCCGCGGTCACAATCCAGGAGCGGCTGAGTGCGGCGCTTGCCGTGCCTGCGGGCCGGAAGGATCCGCTTACGGAAGCGGAGTTGAGCCGGGCGCAAGCCTTTGCCAAGCCGGCGGAGGGAATCGGTGGCAGGTGCAAGTTCTGTGGTGTGGTCTGGGACCCCTGCCACGCCCAGGGCAAGAACCACCTCAAGGCGGTCACAGAGCATGCCCTGGGGACACGGCTCTTTGGCCCAGCCTCTTCAGCGAAGAGGCTTGACGCCACTGGGCTCGTGGTTGCCGGGCGAAAGCCGACCAAGCAGGAGGTCCAGCGCTTTTGGGGCGATGTCACGCTGATGCCCGTCGTGTTGTGGGACCGCCTGAACAAGGGGGAAGGCATCCAATTGCGCTGGGGCGGTGCGAAGAGCAAGGTGTGGCAGATCAAGGCCTGGTGTGAGTTTGCGCTTGTCCCAATTGTATGACCTTGTTCTGTCACTTGGGGCTAATCATCAACTAATGCTGTGATAGTGCCCCGCTGTTTCGGTCATGCAAACAAATTGCAGGCTTGCAGCCTTTTCCAAGCCTGTAACTGAGTTCAATCAAAACCGTGATGGAGGCAGCCGTGGCGAACGGGCCCGTGGAGAACACTCTCATCATCCGCTCTGCCGAGTTGGCCGTGGTGAGGTATGACCCGATCAGCGGCAAGTACTCCAACCGGGGAGACTACTCCCGGGACGCGTTTGCGCGATGGGAGGAGTTGGAGCAGGAGCTGGGCGAGATCCAAGACGGCCTCCAGGGCCTTCACTCCCAGGAGCCGTGGTGGCCCGTTCTTGAGATCCATGTGGACGCCGATGGCACCACTGCGGTCATCCTCGTTTGCTACTACCAGCTTCTGGAGGCCATCATGTGGGCTTGGGTCCTGACCTTGGCGCGGTAGATGTCTTCTAATCCTGTTGCTGGTGTGCTTGGCGTTTCGCCGAGCTGCCAGTGACAAGGTTGGCACGCCCATTTCCGTCGCCGCTCAGTGGCCCAGGCTCCAAGTTACAGTTTTGCCCAAGCAGGAAATTGTTTGGGGTAGTTGTTGGCTTCTCGTCAGACAAGTTGCAAAGACCTAGCAGTTTGGGTTAGTTGACAGTTTGACTTACTGCTGCAAGATGTCTAAATCACGGGGCCAGATCTTGCTGGTAGCATCTTGGGGCCTGAGCCTGGCGCGGTGAAGTCATGGCCGGTTTTTTAACCGCGCAAACGTCAGCGCTGCCTCGATAAAAGAAGCGCGAAGTGTCTTCAAAGAGGCTGAGGGGTAGTCATGTGAGGGCCGTCCAAAACCCGCGACTTTACGGTTTAGTAAGGATGTTACTTTTCAAAAAAAGATGCCAAGGCTTGTGCTCACCCCAAACCTAGCCGCGCCCAAAAACAATTTATTTCGGCCCTAAAGATTGTTTTTGCGTCGTCTCTGGCTGCCTCGCTCGCTTCGCCGAGCTGCCAGTGACCAGGTTGGCACGCCCATTTCCGTCACCGATCAGTGGCCCAGGCTCCAGGTTACAGTTTTGCCCAAGCAGGAAATTGTTTGGGGTAGTTGCTGGCTTCTCGTCACACAGGTTGCAAAGACCTAGCGTGCTTGGTGCTTTCGCCGAACTTCAAGTGGCTCCAAGTGGTTCCAAGTGGCTCCAAGTGGCTCCAAGTGGCGCGTGCCGCTTCAAGTGG